CAGAAACCTGGCTCCCATCAAGCAAAAGCCATGCAGGCTCGGTGAGCCTGAGTTCATTTGATCTCCAGGTAATTCTTCCTAGGGTCCACCCAGAGTTGCCAGGAAAGCCCTCCATCTTGAAAGAGCACAGCATACATTTATTTGCCTAGACTCACATCCTTCTGTTCTCAGTGCAGCCAGAAATACTGTTTATGAGTAAAGACCACACCAGTGGTTACAGACTGCTCTGTGCATCTCATCATTTACCAAAATTTATCACCTCCGTTTTTGCTTGTGTCCCCTAAAAACTTCATCAGCACTGGCTTAATATCTTCTCTCAAATCATTAATCAAGTTACTAATGAGCATTAATTTCAGAACAGCCTCCTACCAGAAATACTTTAGTATTCTGGGGACTCTCATTCCTCTCATTTCTTGAAATTTATCAGCAGACCATGTTTGTAATGTATGCCCCTTTGTTGTTTTAATGATGTCACTTTCATTTATTTTTAATCAGAGAATAGGCCTGGGTGGCAAAGTTAGACCTGCCATGCTGGTGTAACTTCAGATTCCTGCAGCACCTTTGTTAACCCAACCCACGACTGCATCAGAAAACATGAAAGTAGTCAGGGATAACTTAGAGAAAGCAAGCATGAGAACTGGTATATCTGTCTTTATTTTTAACCTGATGGACCTTCCAAGCTCTTGATTTGATATCAGTCTAACTGGTTTAAGGCTATGCACATATCTTCCTGCAGGGCTGCATTCTTCTTTCCTAAACTTCATGCCATTGATGATTGCCTTTCAGTAGCACCCAGGGTAAACTACTCCATAACTGTTCCAGGTACTGAGGCTAGACTAACATGTTTCCCAGGTCTTCTCTTCTGCTCTTTTTGTAGATTGATGTAACACTGATTAGCTTCCAGTCAGCAGGGACCTCTTCCCACTCCCGCAGCTCCCAGTAAATTGTTGGGAGGGGTCCAGCTATAACATCCACTAACTTCTTCATTCTGGGGGGGAATCTCTACAAGCCCAGCAACAAGAAGACATTCCAGGGCTTTGGTATGCCCGGATACAAAAGGTGGACTACTTTTAAATAGGAAGTCATTTTCACTTTAAGCCAGTTAATAGGAAGTGATCAAGTTCAGCGTGATTTAAAAGCAGAAGTTGTAGGGGTTTAACCAGCAGTGGGCTTTCTGACTGCACATGTTCTTGCTTTCAGGCATTTCAGTTGGCAGCGCACCTTCTGTGCACAGACTTCACCTGCTTACTTTAAACAACTTCAAGTTCCTCATAGTTTTTCTGAAGATGGGAACAGGAATAAATGGTTGCGCACACGCTTCTCCTCAGTGCACGCTATTTGTTTGAATTAACAACCTGTATCAGTAATCAGTAAGCAACTTTTCATCAAACCAGGGTCTGATGAAAACCACAACTAGTGTTTGCTGAACAAAAGGCAGCAAAAACAGTGAATGTATTCCCACTGCTCTGCCCTTTCCCTCTTCCTTCACGTTTTTTTTTTTTCACAGTCCCTCAAGACACTTATTGAAACACCGCTGTGCCCAGATCATTGGCAGCCTGGAGCAATTGAGAAAACTTCAGCAGAACCCAGGGTAGCTGAAGAACCAGCTCCCAGGTCTAGAGGGTAAAAGGAATTTACCCTCTTCACTTCTTCAGGAGGCAACCTGCTGCTGCCTAAAGTCAGATGTTAACATATTGAGGGATTATTCCCTTCTGTTCTGTCTGCACAAGACCCTCACCTACAGTACAAATTTCAGCTCTCAGGCCCAAAGCACAAACCGTGGAGCTGTTAGAGCAGAGATCCAGAGAAAAGCCACAAAAAGGCCCAGAGGCCTGGAGCACCTTTTCTGTGGAGATCGGTGGAGAGAATCAGGATTTTTCAGTCTGGAGAAGGTTCTTAAGGGAGTTCTTAAGAAGCTTATGAGGAAGAGGGGAGGAGACTATTACATAGTGACATGACAAGTGGTAGAGGTCTTAATAGAATTAAATTAGATATTAAATGTTTCACAATAAGGGTGATGATGCACCAGAACACACTGTCCAGAGAGCCTGTGGATGTCCCATCCCTGGAGCTGTTCAAGGCCATGTTCAAGGTTTGGGTAGCCTGGTCAAGTGAGAAGCGTCTCTGCCCATGGCAGAGAGGTTGGAAGTGGATGGTTTTTAAAGGTTCCTTCCAAATCAAACCATTGGGTTGGAAGGAGCCTGCAGATTGGCAGAGGGGAGCTCCTCCTGCCCTGGTTTTAACTGAGGCAATTTTCTTTACAGTGGCTGGTACAATGCTGTGATTTGGATTTAGGAGAAAAACAATGCTGACAACACACCAATGGCTTATTTGTTGCTGAGCAGTGCTGAACAAAGCCAAGGGCATTTCAGCTTCCCACACTACCCTGCCAGCAAGGGGCTGGGGGTGCACAAGGAGCCGAGAGCAGAGAGAAAGGACAGTTGACCTAAACTGGCCAAAGGGATACTCCACACCACGTGGCTTCATGTTGAGCATTAAAACTGGGAGGAAGTTGGCCAGGGACTGACTGGCTGGGCATCAGCCAGTGAGTGGTGAGCAATGCATTGCTGAACTCTTGTTTTGTTAATATATTTATATATATTTATATATATATAAATGTTTTATATATATATATATAAATGTATATATAATTTCACTTCATTTTCTGCCTTAGTAAATTGTTTTTATCTCAACCCATAAATTTTACTATTTTTTCCTGTTTTTTCACCCCCATCTCATTGGGAGTAGCAAACAGCTGAGTGGTGTGGAGCTGCCTGCCAGGTTAAACCACAACACCTCCCCCTATACTTCCCGTACGTATTTTTTGATTCAGAATCTCTACAACGTCTCAGGGTCCTGTCCTCTGCTTCCTACCTTTAACACAAGGTCCTCTAACTGAACCTTTTCCTCATTTCCCTAGAATACCAGAGAAGGCAGAGGCTTGGAAATGACTTTACAGCCATTAACAAGGTTCAAGAAGCCAGGTAACTCTCTTCTGCCACTCTTTACCACCAAGTGCAAAAGCACATGATTGAAGATCCGTTAGCAGGACGGCACCTAGTAAGGTACAGAGGCTGAATCCAGGTATGGAGGCACAACTACTCAAGTGTTGTTTCAGCTTGTGAAGAGTCACTGTTGCAAATGGTCATAGCACCCCAGTTGTCACGTTTCTCTTCAATCTGTTCTGTGTCAAGATTAGGGGAATTCTCACGTGTTTAAGGACCAAGTCATTCCCTCCACCACTGTGTCCGTCTCCCTGTTCTCTACTTCAGACATCAGCTTAAAGAACAGCCAGAACTTTGTGGCTGTTCACAGTCTCAATGCTAAAAGCAACTTACTGAGCCCAGGTGGTTCTTTCCTGGATCATAATATGAGGTATCGTATCTTGCATTAGCTTGAGACTACTGCTGAGATGAGGGCTCTATTGTTTCAGCTCCTTCTCTCAAGGTCTGGCAACCACAAGAGGACTGATCTTCCACTAAGCCTCCTTCAGTGCATAGCTATTTCTTTGACCTTGCCCACTTCAGGGCCTGCCTAGACTATGCAATCTCCAGCAACTCCAGCCACTTCCAGCAAGCAGCCAGCTTACGCCCTTCCAACACTTACTTCACTGTCTCAACCAACTTTCCTCTCATCACTTCCATGGATGCTGGAGGCTTGTCTGACTGCACCCCAGCTGTGGAGGCCTTGTAAATGGCCACCGGGAGAACAAAACTCCTGCTGCGTTTGCTATGGGACAGAGAAGGCCATGGAAGTGGGGAAAGAGCCTGCCATAAGCCGAGGCTCTGCCCCGTGCATCCTTGTAGAATTTATGTATACTCTACACAAAGCTTTAAAGCACCAGATTCCACATTTGATTTTCAGGACAAAACAACCAGTACTCAGTGAGATCCCTGTTCCTGTTAGCTCCCAGATGGACAACGTGGAAATACACGGTAGAATCCTGGCACACTACTTTCAAGTGTAAATCACTGATTTCCTTCGTTCCGTTCCAAGTGAATTTATGAAATGGTTTACATATCAGTGCATGCCAGAGCAGGAAACTGGCCCAAAAACACAGGAGACCTTTCTTAGTCGTGTATTCCTAATGCCTTTCCAGCTTCATCTAATACCAGAGTTAAGAAGAGATCATTAATAACGATGTCATACGCTGTCAGCCCCAGTTGCAAAGAAATAAAATAATGGGAATATTCCCAGTCATGCAGGAGCCCCTTGTTCAAGGCCGCACAAACAGCCAGGCAGCAATAAAGACCAACCAATCCCCATCAAACATGCAGTAAAACCACAGCCATGAAAAAGCATATTTTTGCAAACAGTGGAAACCTTTTACAGTTTCCACGTTGTCACTGAGCATTATCTCACTTCCTAACTACATGAGAAGCCTTTACAGAAAAGTTACAATTAGACACCAAGTTTCTCTTCAGTAATTTCCCAGTGATACAAAAGAAGTTACTTAATTCCACAGCAGGCACGATTAGATTAGCAGAAGATAAAAACTGATGGAACAATTCTTTACAGTTTGTTTCTTTATTCAGTAAACATCTAGTTACAAGTTTCACAAATTAAAAAAGTGGAGGAGCCAACTGAAGAAATGTAGAGGAGGGGAGGGCACAAGCTATCCAGCTTTTGTTCTGCTCCTCACCTCTCTAACGCACATCCTTCAGCTACTCTGTAGCTGTACCAAGAATTCAAGAGGGGAATAGAAGCCTTTGTCCCTGTGAGGGGACTAACACAGGGGGGTCTAGCAGGATTCCCTCGTCTTTCTTTCACAGGGGACTAAACACAAACTTCATAACCAGCCCAACCCACCACAGAAAGAGTGGAAAGGACAGAAGCAGCAAGGTGGCAGCTCCTCGTGCCCACCACTACTGGCAGAAAGAACAGAACCAAAGGAGGACAGAAAGGGAATGGTCGATTAATGTGTTCCTTGCACATTAGTGAGATGCTCCATGAACCACTGCAGCACCCAAATGGGGCAGGAAAAAAAAAAAGGCAATGCAGAAGATTAGTTGCTTTATTTCAATTCTTAAGTGGCAGGGAGGTTAATACTAAATTTGAGAAGGGTCCAAGTGGTGCTTTGAAGGGGCTTTAGAATTTCACTGTCTGTACCTGGAAGGAAGGGAAACAAAGAGAGAACATAAAAAGAGCAAAATGTGATTAGAAAGCAGCTAAGACAGATAAGATTTAACATTTATAATAATAAAAAGAAACCCCAAATTTCAAGTTCAGGACCATATCCAAGTGAACCCTCAAAGCACAGGCCAGAAAGCAGCACTTGTTTTAATTTCAAACTGGACTGGCAGTAAAAAGTCTCTAAGTTCTACATAATGATAATGTAAACACTCTATAGATTGTGATCCTGCATCACCTCATACCATTTCAACCACCACCTAAGGCTGACATCACATATTTTTCTTGGTGACAAGGCCAACCTTGCTGAACCTTTCCATTCAGTATTTTCTCAAGAATTTCATCTTCCTCTGCTCTTTACATTAAGCGAGAAAACATTCTTCCAACCAAAATAATGCAAGACTGGGGTAATGAAAAGAAAATCCATATGGTTAAGAGGCAACCAGGCAATGGAGAATGAAAAAAGAGTCGTGTTAGGACTTACAAGAACGTGTAGGTAGACTTGGGGGTGACCATGTTGCACCCCCAACAAGGTCTGCTCTGCATTCACCAGTCATATCGGCGGGACTGTCTGGAGGGAGAATCCTCCGGGCCCTGGATCGCAAGACGAGTCCCTTCAGCCCGGCGGCTGCCGCTGCCGTCGTGACGCCGGTATTCCAGTCCTCGCTGCGGCCGGAAGCGGGATGTCTCTCGCCTCCACTCATCATCAAAAGCGGCTGCATCACCTGTGTCAGCAAGAACAAGCTCAGCCAGGGAAAAGGTGGGAAGCGGCAGCTGGGTTTGCTGAGATGGAAGACGGGACAGTACTCACTTTCATCCATATTGATGTAGTCCTGCCTCTCTTCCTGGTCACCTGTACGATGGTTCCGGGATCGCTGCATGATGTGCGCTCTGTCCCTGATGTGGTGCCCAATAGACATTTGTTCCAAGCCACTGTCTGAGTCCCTTACGGTCCGCCTAGTCTCACGAATCTGAGGGTAGATTTGACAATCAACATTTTAATTCATTCCCCCAGCCCGATAAGACACTCTGGTTCTTGCCTACAGCACTTCAGTCATGCTGCGCTTGCCACCAGTCCCAGTCGAACGGAACATAATAATAAGGAAAAAAGACTTCCTCTCCAGCTGGCACTTCCCATCTCCTCTCAGGGGCGCTCAGCATGGTTCAGTGACTCACGACACATTCCTCAATCCACAACTGACTGCAAAGCAGAAATGCTGTGGGTGGCCAACACTGAGCCGCCAATGAAATTCTATCCTTCCCCAACAAAACCAGCAGCCTCCTGCTGGGATGACACACTGTGGCCTCCTCCTTACCCCGCCAGGTGCCGAACGCATCTCTGAGGTCTCCTGATACACTTTGGGCCCATCACCCAGGTTGGAATAGGAGATGACAGTTGAAGAGGTAAATGTCTGGCAGTTTGCACCACTTGTCATATGTTCCTGCAAAAGAAGACGGGCAATGGCATAACGAAGAAAAGAGTGGGAAGAAAAGATAACAGCCATTTCTCTCTCCATACAACAAAGCAGGAGAGAATTACAAAAGTATCTGTGCTGCATTCACCCTGAAGGGAGGGTGCAATGAAGATGGAACCAGGCTCTGCTCAGTGGTGCCTTGTGCCAGGACCAGAGGCAAAGAGCACAGACTAGAATACAGGACGTTCTCTCTAAACAACAGGAAGCACTCATTTATTGTGCACCAGCACAGCACAGTTTATGGAGCACCAGCACAGGCTGCCCAAAGGAGTTGTGGAGTCTCCTCCTTGGAGACCTTCAAAAACCACGTGGATGTGGGACTGGGCACCCTGCTTTAGGTGTCCCTGCTTGAGCAGGGTTTGTACCCAATGACATTCAGAGATCCCTTCCAATCTCAACCATTCTGTGATTCTGCAAGTACAAGCCCCATTGGTCCATCTTTCTGGAGAACAACTCCTGCTTCTTGCAGAGGTCTACTCTCATGCTTCCATTCCATTCCATCTCTCCTCCCTGAATTCAGCAGGCATGCCCCAGGAACAACACCTCTGTCACTCCATCCTGCTCAGCAGGATGTTACAGCTTCTCCACTCTAACAGCTTGATCACAGCCAGCACTAAAGAGGCACACAATAGGACAGCAGACAACAGAGAGGATGGCAGAAGCACCATCAGTACTTCCCTCTTTCGTGCAGATTACTTTATTGAAGGTTCTTACCATGTTCCCAATCATGTCGTTCATCATGCCAAACATGTCTATAAAGCCACCTGCCTACAAAAACAGACAGCACAGGAATAGTCAATTTGGATGGGTATGGGAGAAAAGAATTACAAGAACCTGTCTGCAAAAGCCATGAAACTGCTGCTGAGAGGGAAAAAAAACACTTTTTTTTTTTCTTTCTATCTATTGATAGAAAAAAAAAACAACAAATTTACAGTTGCTGTTCTTTGCAATCTCTTCAGACTGCATTGCCTAAATGTTCCAGCTCTCCAGATCTCTGGCTCTGACATTCTTTTAGTTTAGCTCTGATACCCAATGCACTAAGATTTGTAAATTCAGGCATTCAGGAATGTTAAGACATGAAATCCCAGGATACACACTAATAGTAGACTTAACCGTAAGACAGTCACCATCATCACTGTCAACTCTTGATTTAAACCACAAAGGAGTTTTCACGGTTTGTTTTCTAACATAGGAACTTTTCTTCTTTTCCCTATAGAGAAAGGAGACGTGACTGTCTTTAATCTGGCAAACCTAAGGGCTGCAGGTAGTATACTCAGCCAGCAGGTCTCACAGATTAATTGTGCAATATGTAAACAAAATTAGTGTCAGTTTAAATGCGCTGATTCCTTTTTCCCTTCTTCAAGTGGCTTCTTGTTCTCATTTACAGCAGACCAGCACTCACACGCAATCTTATTATCCTTTGAAGTCTAACTGTTTGTATTATTAATCCTTTTCTGAGCTAGAACAATTCCAGGATGCTAGGCCTCTTTCATTAAGTCGATACTGAAGAGTGAGGCAGCTAAAGCTGCTAGATCTGGAATAACTTATTTCCAATGTTTTACTACAGCAGATGACTGAGATCAACAAGCTTCAGGAACGACATTCTCACATACATCCAGCTACTCTCATTCCAATTCTGTTCTCTTGAATTACTCTCTTGGCTTCTCATTCTGCAACCATTTTCAAAGGAAGTTCAATTACTGCCTCTGCCTAATGACGGCCGAGTCTTTTCCTTGTGTCATCACAGTTTCACAATGATCTCCAAACAGATCCACAGCCTCTTCTTAGACACAAGGTTAAGAGACTCTCCATTCTTCCTGGATATTAACTATCCCAACTCCTATGAAATACCATCCTGTCACAGCTTTATGGATCTTCTCTGTTTGAGGTGCCCATACAAAAGGACTCCTCTAAAACAGCTCCACAGACAAAAAGTACAAGGGAAAGAAGTGGAAAGTCTAAAATCATACAGCAACTCAGGAATAGCGGTCCACGGGAAACCAGTTATCTTCAGTTTCAATTCAGTTCACCATTTATTATAAATCTAATAATAAATAGAGCTCATACTTGTCTCTTCAAACCGTCTCACTCTCACTACCTGTTAAGATATACGGACTTACATTTCTGCTACTGGTTGCCCACAGCTCTAACAAATCTCAAGGTGAAGCTACTATTAGTGAAGCACAAACTTGGCACTGAAAAACAGAGGACTTACCATGCCCAGCATCCCAAAGGGTGAAACAGCTCCTGCCTGTCAACACAGCAGAAAAACAGAATAAACAATGACCTTGTGGCAGCCAAACAACTAGATACTCCTCAGAGCACCCTCATCCTTCTTGGAAACAGGACTTGGAACACTCAGAGCCAATAAACGCATGAAAAAAGCAACCCACTGACTCATGAGGGTTCAAACAGTATCACCACTAACAAACCATACAGAAGGGATATTCCCCCAATTTCCTTCAGTTATAGTGATTTATGGCTTTGAGACAGCATATACACTTTCCCTTCCTTCCATTCAACCTAGAACACAGCTGCCAAGAAACACATACATGTAGAGTGAACAAACAGCAAGAACATCACTGTTTCTGAAACCAGCTCTACCTCCACCATCTCTAAGAAGGTAAGGGAAACGCTCGATCCAATAACGGTGGAGGAAAGAAGCTTAACAAGACAGTTTAAAAAAAATCTTAGCCTGTAGTCAGCCCTCTCTTACCTGCATCCTGCGGCCAGCCTGACGAGCCCCTGGTGTGGTCCCATCAGTGATACCAAGCAGTGGGCCAAATCCAAAACTTCCAGAAAGCATGCGGTTCATGTGCTGCCGGTGGATAGCAAAAGGGTCCCTTTTGGAAAGATTGAGAGAACAATGGTGAGAAAAGGATGATAGAACACAAAGTCCTGCATAATACACCCATTCTGACTCTGAGTTTCTCTTACGCAACTGTACTTTCTAAGCTGAAAATCCAGAACCCCAAGAACTCAGTATCACATATGCTAATCCTTGGGGCTGGATCCCATTTCTTCTTTTGTGACTGAAAGTATTATGCCACAGAAGCTCTCTTAAGCACTAACTGATGTCTATTCGGCAGCAGCTCCATGTCCTGTTCCCACTAATATACTTTTGGGCCAAACATGGCTAAGGATATTCCAAAACCTCATTGCTCTAAGAGGTAAAAGACCTGCAGTCCAAGTACTACCATCATGTCATACTCATTTCCTCTTGAACCATCAAAACATTAACAGCCACAACACACAAACTGTTCTAGAAGAATAGTTCTGCATTTCGCAGGGAAGCACGCAAAGACCACTGCCCTGGCTGCAAAGAAAGGGCTGCATTTAACAGGACGAGAGTGTACACAGTCTTAACTGTTGTTCTCTCACCTCCTTAGGTGCACGTGCACAAACACAGTAACCAAAATCTCCAGAATACACCACATGGTCTGACACTGTTTGATATTCCTCTGCCCCTAATCATCTCAATTTGCTGTTTTCCTGGGATGTTACGCACACAACCACAAAAGGCTGACATCACAGAAAGCTTTTAAAGGTCTAAGTCTCAGTGTAAGAATGAAAGAGAGCAATAATTAGGGTCCCTACATGTTTCTCCTTTCCTTCTTGTGCAGCCTCCATTTTGAGGACATACTTGTACACTAGAAAAGGAGGGAAAAAGTAGAACGGGGACAGTCAGAGAAAACAGCCGCCACACTAAGGAGTCTGAGAAATATCACAGCATTTCTCTGCATATCTGGTAGTTCTGCATTCATCCTTCCAAAGCACAAACAACCTGAACAGCACGTAATTTCCTGAGATCACAAAAGCATCTAGCACAAACCAATACTTTCCTGTTTCTACTGGGAATACTTTGCATAATAAAAGCAAGACTCATAGCTGCCACATCAGTGAGAACATACACTCATCCTGTGACTGAGACATCAAGGTCTCCTCTCCTGCTAATTTGTTTACAGTTGATAACATTCTTATAATCAATTTTATAAGCAAGAGCACAGCTTTGTTTTCCTTCATAAATTAATTCGAACAAATTTATAGCAGTGCCAGGCTCAACACAAACCTCCCACTGTATAACACCAATCCTTAACTACTTTGGCAAGAACTGCCACCTCTGATCAGCTGCAACCAATCTCTGGGCAGGGGACAGAAAAAAAATAATCAGTAAGAAGAAACCCAAAGAAGCATTATTGGGAGCTGCATCAGATTTTCAGACTTGTATTTTAAAACTACTAGAATTCTCCTCGTTTAGTCCCTTGCAACTTGACAGCTCCTTTAGAATCATAGAATGGCCTGGGTTGAAAAGGCCCACAATGATCATGTAATTTCAACCCCCCTGCTATGTTCAGGGCTGCCAACAACTAGACCAGGCTGCCCAGAGCCACATCCAGCCTGGCCTTGAATGCCTCCAGGGATGGGGCACAACCTCCTTTCTCCAGCTTCATTAATGAATTCTTCAGCAGAGCCGCCACAAACAACAGGCACAGAAGATATCATCAAAACCCTACTCCGTATACAGAAATCCTTAAGCACAGATAAAGGTCGGGTACTCCAGCACTGTCAGACAGCCAGGTGCGCTCGGCCTACTTTATTTAATTACACTGTCCTCAGGCACGGCGGTGGCTCCCCGCACGCCGCCCGGCCCGCTCCAGGAACGCTCGCGCTCCCGCGGAAGCCCCGCGCCGCCGCACGCAGCCCCGCACTCAGAGCCCCGCTCGGCAGGCGCCGCCACAGCGCCCCGGCCCGCCCTCCCCCTCGAGCCTCCCCAGCCGACTCACATAGCGAACATGGGGTCCTCCGGCTCCCCGTCCCTCATCAGCCGGAACATGCTGTTGCCCTCCACGGGGGCGAGTTCTGCGGAGGGAGAAAGAAGCGCTGAGCAAGCCGCGAGCGCATCGCACCGCATCGCACCCCGCCCGGCCGCAAAGGCGGCCGCCCCCAGACCCGGACCTCACCGCCCCGTCACCGCCACCCCCGGGCTCGCCCCCACCTGCCGTGCCCCTTCCCCTGCCCGCAGGCGCGCCGGGCGGTGCCGAGGGGACGACAGCAGGAGGAAGAGGAGAACGAAGAAGACGCGGGCCGCTCACGCCCGGACTCCCATGGCGGCCCGCACCCTGCTCGTCCCTTCCGCTCCAGCCGGTTCGCTTCGCGCATGCGCGCACAGGCCCGCGGCTCCGTGCGCTAGCGGAGGAGGCGGGGAGCTGGGCCGGGCAGGAAGCGGCGCCCAGGCCCCGCTCCTCGGGGCAGAGCGGCAGGGGGCCGGCAGAGCGCCTCCTAGCGATAGGAACATCTCGCCCCTCCTCTGGTGCTTCTTGCTCTGGTGCTTGAGGCGCCCTGCCGTCGGTCGGAGCCCACCTGTGGGCACGGAAACTCACCCGGAGCTTCTGCAAACACTGCCTCGGCCTCCCTGCCTCCGGTTTTGTGATCTGGAATCACCCCTCAGTGTATTCCGGGCTGGAAAGCATTTCCTGTTCGGCGTGTTCTCCTACCACACGGGGCGGGCCCCATGCTGGATTGGGTGTGTGCGGCTAGCCGGCAAGGATCCGGGGGCAGGGAGAGAGAGTGCTGCTTGGACAAGAAGGAAAGCATTTTTATTTATGGGACTGGGAGCAAGTCTGGGACAAAATGACCTGATCCCAGCAATCATCCCGCCCCCAGAGATGGCAGGGCTCCTTCATTTGTTTCCAAACACAGCGTCAGTCGTTGCTGCCTCCCAGAGCGGAGGCAGGGGAAGCAGAGGTGCAGGAGCACGTGCTGTAACCTATGTCACCTATGTTACCAGCAGTGTTACCACTTAGGTAACTGTCTCGCTGGTGGCCAAAGCTATGTGACACCTTGGAAAGTGGAAACGCAGCCTTTTTCTGGAACGTAGACAAGTTCCCCGTTGTCAGAAATGCAGAATCTCACTTTTGCACACCATTTGTACGTGAGGCTTCTGTACTCCACTTTACATCCAATGTGCACCAAGTGGCTGGCCATTTGCTGACACTGAGTACCTAAGCATGGCAGTGTGGATGCACAGCAAGGCTCACGTTTTTGTTCTGCCACATTCTCTGTTTAAGCTGTTTCAGTTTTCTGTCATGAATCAAAACCATTACTCACATTGCCTCATTTCCTTTCCTTTTTTAAGCTGTCCAGACAGGAGAATGGGGAAAAAGGAGGTGGTGAGTAAAGGGCGAAATGGAATCAAGGACTGATGCCACTGCCCTGAACTCCATCTTCTGCTGCCTCCTGCTGACTTGCTGCCAAGCAGAATTCCTCCCCCCTAACATCCCCATCACTGTTAGCTGTGCAGTCAGCCAAAGGGGCGACCACAGTGCACGCATTTTAAAAGCAAACTGAATATCACGTGGTGTGGGTAAATAAATGGTACGCTGAATATCAGACCTTTTACCTGCTTCTTTCCAGGGACCAATCATTGTGGCCAAGAGGACAGAAACAGCTTCTTCCAAGAAGGCAGAAACACATCCAAATATTCCAGGGAATGTCCATGTGACAAAGAAATTCTCATTATCAGAAGCCAGAACTACCCACAGCCACTTCTGCTTCGGTTCCTTTCATCTGTGCCTCTTACGTAATCCTCAGCCAGCAACTAATTCTGACCTCACATGAAGGACACCCTAAGAGGACAGCTCTCATTTGATCCTCAGGAGTGACAATATCTGGAATGCTAGAGCCAGCTTGCAGTGACTGGGGTATGCGTTGCTTAGCAGTGATTACTTTCAGAATATTTTGCTCAAGAATGAGTCTGTCACACTATGAGTGAGAAGCACAACCTCCATCTGCGCTATATTAGTGAAGACAAGTTCACAAAAATCGTGATTCAAAGCCTTCCTCCCTTTCTGATCCTCTCACAGGCTGGCTCTCATCCCTAATCACTCTTACTCCCCTTGCTTCCTCTCATTATGCTATCTGCACTGCTCCCCAGCCCACAACAGTGCTCATTTGCATTGCTTCTTGCAAAGACATATTTCCAAATGCAAAGTTTGGCCAGTGGTTGAATTTCTAGAAATTTCCTCTTGACTTCTGATTATGGAACCATGGAGGACAAACAAAATCAATAATCTGTATAACTTTTAATGGACACAGGATAGAAAAATGAACAATGTGGATTAAATGCATAAACGTGCACCCATCCCCCCACCCCCCCCTCCAGATTTGGCTGGTTTCACCTTAAAAGAAAGGATAGATCCTCTATGCCTGAATTTCTGAACATCTAAGAAAAGCTGAGGCAAACACAAGGCCTTCTGCTCTTCTGCTGTTCAGCAAGTAGCTTGGAAGAGTTTTGGAACCACTTTTGAGTTAGTTGTCAGAATAACATTCTTAGAATACTCTCATACCCAAATATGATGTTTTGGTTTTGCTCAGAGTTACTTTTGCCTTCACCATAAACTAGTAACTCCTCCCCCTGGCTACAATGGTACTATGACAAGACTAGGAAGGTATTAAAACAAAATTAATAAATGCATGTGCTAGAAACATAAAAATACATACCATACAAATACACAGCCACATGCTCACTATGAAGATGCGTACTGGCAGACTTAACATTTAACACCAGTAGAAATATACCATACTTTCACAAAAGAAAATGCACAAAAAGATAGAAAACACCATCACTGCACACAAAAGTGTAAGTACTGCAGATGTACACACCCACGAAAACACAAAGTACAAACAGCATGCTACACAAAAATGGTAACTTACAGAGAAAATTACATACCCAGGCTGCAGACATGCATATTGCCGATGTTCCCAGTGACATATCACACAACTTCTGTACCTCCATCATCCTGTCTAAAGGCTGAAGACTCCAAAAAAGATGGAATATATTCTGCTGAGTTTGCAAAGCAACTTCAAGCAAAGACTGCTGAACATACTGAAAAGTGACTTACATCTTCACATTGCATGATGAGTATAGTTGCATATACTACAAAAGGGATGACTTCAGATGGGGGAGAGAAGAGCAGAGAAAAGCTGTAAATTGATCCAGCAGACAAAATGCAGAGAAGTACCAATGTGATGGAGGAACAGAAGGCCTGAGAAACACAGGTGTCAGTGAAAGGATGCCCACAGGGCACACTAGAAGCCAATGAAATCCCACTATCAGGATCAGAGGAGCAGATGGGATACAGAAGCAGGCATGTCCCAGGGCATGAAGAGGAGTTTCACATAGGATATGAGGGAAAAAAACAACTACAGGCATGCAGGGAAAAATGGGACGTGAAGAACGAAGGGGACATGAGCTGAATTTTGTACATACAAGAAAGGAAAACAGAGACAACGTGGGAGCAGTGGCCATGGGAACAGCACTGACAAAGAACACAGATACGTAGCAGAAGTTCTGAATCAACAGATCTGAGTAAAAACTGCAAAGAGAATATGGTGGGGAGGAAGAATAGGAAGAAGCAAGACTGCACACTGACTACTGGAGGATACACAGGGGGAAGGAAGAGGTCACAGACCTAACCAAATGGTTCTTTCACAGGTGGCTGGAAACATACTTCCCTCACATAAAGTGCTGTCTGTGTATTTGCATCTGAGGGCACGTTGCCTGTGTCAGTGTAACTGTTTGGGCACAGTATCATCACCAAATACAATCTTCATTTTTTCTTCTCTGGGATGTTGTGTTGAGGTCTGCTTGTGCATTAGCATGGATGTGTCTCTGGTACAGGATGTGTGATGGTGCAGGAGTTGAGGATGTAAAGATAAGGACAAAAATCCTGGATTGGTGCAAAGAACAGCAGAGCTGTGAGTCATGCATCTCTGACAAGGAGAAGCAGAATATGACAACATCCAGCCATCAACTTCATTTTTTTTTTCCTCCTATTTTTGAATGCAGCTCCAGAAATGAAGATTTACCGTTTCTTGCAGAAAAGAGGGATGAAAGTGGAACCAAATGCCAGGACTCAAATTCTGACAGCATGTAGACCTGAAAAGATGGCTAGAGGGGCTTATGAAGCAGGAGGAAAAACACTGAATGCATGCATTTTCATGATGTGCTCTCCTGCATTAGACTGGATCTGCATGTCTGTGTTAAGCACAATTTCCCTGGGGCAGGCAGCACTTACTGTATGCAGCCAAGACGAACACAGCTTAGTCACGTTATCTGAGAGAAACTGCTCTAGCTGTGAAGAAGACAACAGATGACAAGGTAGGGATCCCCCACCTGTCTCACCCGCGTGGTCTTTCACCCTTCCTACTTTAGGAGATGTATACTTATCACTCTCTTTACGCACCAACCTCCCTTTCTATCAAATACTCAAACTGAGTACGAGAGGCGCCTCTCTCCCGGCACGGCAACGCCCAAGCGTGCCACCAGGTGGCGCCGCTGCACGCCTCCCGCCGCCCTCAACAACTGAGCAACGCAGACGGCGGTAGTGTCGTCAGCCCCGCGGCAGCGCCGTGCCAGCGGGCTCAGAGCGGCGGGCAGCGGGAGGGCCGGGCTGCCCGGGGAGCAGCCGCAGAGCCCCGCAGAGGACACGCGGATTCGTACGCCGCTGCGGTCGCTGCCGTACGGCCGCGGATGAGCCTCCCGCAGCGCGGAGCTCGGGTTTAGGCGCCGACGACTCGCAGGGGGCCCGTAGCGCCCCCGAACGTCACCCGTCGTCCCTCCCTGCCGGAGGTGAGAAGGCAGTCGTAAGGAATGGCGGGACAGGCTGAGAGACGAACACGGCGGCGGCGGCGGCGGCAGCGCCAGCACCGCCACCGCTCGCCCCGCACTCCGTCCTCGCGCCGCGCCCGCATCCCCACGTGCCCTCCCCTGGTCCTTGCAGCAACACTCCCCGCGCCCCCTCCCCCACGCGGAGCCTGCCCCCAACGACCAATAGGAAGCCTGTTGCCAGGCAAACTGCTCATTTGAATGGCCCAATCGGACGCCCACCCTCAGTTCCTCCTTATATGGGGAAGCGGGACGCGCTAGCTACCCCTCCCCCACCCGCTTCAACCCGGCGACCGGCCCCGCCCCGCCCCCTGCCTCCGCCGCAGAGCGCGGGAAAAACATCCTCCTTCCCGCCCCGCCCCCACCGCGGGTCCCCGGCCCGGCAGGACGCGGCCGCGGGGAGGAGCCCCGCTTGGCAGTGGTTGCAGGGGGAGGGCGGCAACCGA